TTCTCATTCTGAAACTCACCCTGGTATGACGATGTGTTCACTGCCCTACAAATTACCTACAAACAAAGGCAAATACTTCAGAAGGAATTGGCTGATATGCTGGAGATGGGAGTAATATAAGAGCCATACAGTGGATGGTATGACCTCTTGGTTCTTGTGGTGAAAAGAGGATTCTGTAGAGTTCTGTGTAGACTAGCACAAGGTAAATGTGGTGTCACAGTTTGATGCGTATCCCATACTCCAGGTTGACAAACTGCTCAATTTTCCACAATACTTGATTTGACCAAGCACCACTGGCAGATTCCCTTGTCTCCAGAGTCTAAGGAAAAAACAGCCTTCTCTACTCCATATGGTTGTATATGGAGCCATGGCCACATTCCAGTTCTTCTTGGCCCAGGTGATGCAGCAACACACTGCATAAGCTGCCGCCTACCTGGATGATGTTATCATTCACAGTAACATCTGTGCAGAGCATGTGCAGCAGGTGGCTGCAGTCATGTAGTCTCTGCTGAGGTGGGGGTTCGGGGTTCATGGCCAACCTGAAAATGTTTGCAGTTGTATGAGGGTTACCACCTGAGAGGCAGACAGGTGCGCCCTCAGATGGCGAGGCCAGCAGTCATTGCATCCTGTCTGTAACAAAACCAAAACGGAGGTGAGGCAGTTTTGGGGCTGGCTGGTTCGTCCCGAACTTTGGGGAGCAGACCAGTCCCTTAACAGACCTCACCCAGAAAGTTGCCCCCGATTTGGTCCTGTGGATGCAGCAATGCCAGGTGGTGTTTCATGTGAAACCCTGCTCCAGACCTAACTTCTTCCCTCCCGTTTATTCTGAGGACTGACACTTTGCACACAGGGCTGGGGGTAGTTTTGTCGCAGCAGGAAAAAGGGCTGATCACCCTGTGGTGTATTTCAGCTGAAAACTGTGAGTGTTAGACTTACTATAGCACACCTGAAAAAGAGCGCTTGGCTCTGGGGTGGTGGTCTCTCTTTATTCCTACGTCCTGGGGTGCTCATGGACCCTTTGCTCAAATCACGCCCCAATGCAGTGACTCTATTGCATTAAATATTCCAATCCCAGACCACCATTGGTATCTAGGTCTTACAGCCATATAAGTTCAACGTGATCCATAGGAGAGATATGATGATCACCTCTCCTCTTAACCTAGCTTCAATAGCACTTTCCCATAGCTTGATGTTAATGCTCATCAACTTCACTATAACCTTAAAAGCTCCAGGAAATATATAAGGACTTTCAAATATTTTAGCCACTTTTTTTTTTAAATGATAATTACAGACCAACTTAAATTTTAAATTTTTTAAGGTTTTTTTGTACTACATCATGCAGGTCCTGTGACATTAGTTTAATGAATTGTCTTTTCCACTTGTCCACACCAAGTCTCTATTTAAACCCCTAAACACAGATGAAGCTGAATTGGTGCATTGGTGAGGTACAGTATTTTTGAGAACAGGATGAGAACAAACAACTATGGTGGGAAAGAGAAAAGTTGGTGATGGATGAATTTAAGAGGCTGCATGCATTTAACAAAGTTTACCTGACTTTGGTCATCCTCTCAATTCTGCACTAGGATGGAAAGAGAGCATGCAAAAAGGGACACAGAGGGAAAAGGGTAATTTAGACAAACTGAGAAGAGAAAGACTGTAAGCAAGGAAACAGCTTTTTGGACAGAAGAAAAAACATCCTCACAAAAACTGGTCTCCATATCAGAACAAATCTCTCTCCATGTTAGACTGAAAAGAAAGATAATAGATAACGCTGCTAGAAAGGATTTATCTGCCAGCATCATATGACTTAACAGATGTCAGCTTGTAATCAGGCCAGAAAACTTGTAATTCAGCTCCCTACACAAACTTGCTTCCCCCATAAGGTTCATCAAACAGCAATGGCAATCACATGATGAACTGCAAAGGGCTCAAGGGGAGTCAGTTTAGGTAGAACAGCTGGTGTTTATAAGGAAGTCAACTCCTCTAAAAAATGTAATGTGTGGCTCAAAGGGGGATTGTGTGGACATAACTCAGACACCAGTACCTCGTGACTCGCAGGACTCAGCGGTTGTCAATTAAGTACCTAAAATATTCTCGGTTTCAGGACTCAAGCTGAATATATGTTGATTGCTATTAAATGCAATGGTGAAGTAAAGTAAAGGGTTTTATAAGATTCAATGCAAAATCCAGAATCCGAAACAAATACCCATGAAACATTCCATGGATAGTTGTTCTGGTGGCAAATTCTTTGTATTTCTATATTTTAAATAGAAGAACACATCTCTGAAGCACCAGATGTCCTTGAACAACATTTTCTAAGATGGATGTGGGCAATCCTTGCCCGATCAAAAAAGAATTTCTTTCGCATCCACACAAACCATATTTTTCAGACCATAACGTGCACTGGATTATAAGGTGCATTAAATGAAACAAAACAGTCAGTTAAGTCAAACTTTACTCATCTCATTCTTCTTGCTTCCTTCACTTCCGTATCATTGATTCATTAATGTTGAATTCTATCACAGCTGCTCTATTCCCATGTTGTTGCAGTATATTAATCACCAACCTCGTATTGTGGATGGATTATCTCAGTTGTTCTCCTGACTGAAGTTTGGTTTATTTGGTTTATTTACAGCATCCTGCCATGCGATTGCATTTGTCCCTAACCATCAGGAACCCTCACGTTAACTTTCATCGATTGGAAAAAAGTTCGTGTTCATCCTCCAGCTTCACTGTCTTTATGTTATGCTAACATAGCTGTGTCGCTAGCGATCACGTAGCACATCATTATATACCACCTAGCCCAACTTCAGTAACTCTACAAACGTCACTGCTGTTTAGTTTTCTGTCTTCATTTATGTTGGAAGTGATAACAGAGCTGTACGTTTTAATTTGTTTCAGAAATCTCTCAGTCAGAACATGCTATATCATGTTTAGGTGGAGGCTAGCGAGCTAACTTCCTGCTAACTTCTAACTCTGTTAAATTTCATAAATGTAATAAATTCTGTTTTCATGGATGCCTGGATGTTAAACTTAATTGTTACACCTGGTAAAGCAGCAACGCTGATCATTTTATTAAAGATGAAAGATTTTAGACAGTTTTTAACTATCAGTGATTGACTTTGGGACCTGAGGCTGACGGCGTTTAGGACCCAGATTACTCCGCGAGGCTGAACAACCCATTGACCCACCCATTGAACAGAATATGGTGGTGAAAAACGTTTCTTATGTTAACCCAAGAGCTGTTAAAACTGACCGGGAACACTAAAGTAAGGGGTGGGGGTGAACGTAACCGGAGGGTTAAGCGGTGCGGCTTCGTAGCTTACCAAAGTCGAGTTTTGAGCACCGTGTAGCACATAAAATCGGTTCTAGGTCAGTAAGCACAACCAGAATTCATACATAAGGTGCACCGGATTATAAGGAGCACTGTCAATTTTTGTGAAAATTAAAGGCTTTAAAGTGCGCCTTTTAGTGCAAAAAAATATAGTTGAAAATCATGAAAAGTGATCTTTTTAAACTTTTATGAAGACTTTGCTAAAGCTAACCTTTCAAACATTAACCAAAGCATCCTACAGAGCAATTTTATGTAATTAATAGATCTACTACCACATTTTGCCTTATCTTTAGAAATGTTTTGAACTGAACTAAATGCTTTAATACCCCTGAATTATTCTCTAAAAACAGTTTAGGACAAGCACCTGCTTGACAAATTAAAAGAGTCTAGTTTGAGTTTTTTTATACTTTGTTCAAATTGAATGATTACTATTGTTTCTAGACAAAAACTTACCATTTTTCTCATCTGTCAAGCATGTGGGTAAAGTAAGAGGATTTTAACGACATAAGCAAATTTGAAACAATTTCAATCATGAGGCTTTGATGAAAGCTACTGAACTCTAAGAAACGATTGATGGGGTTGGATTTGACTTCATTTTATCAGAGGCATGTTGCACAACACAGATCTAACTAACGGCAAAAGGGAAAGCTGACAGCACGTGCTACTAATACTGCTACAGCACACCATCTACCTGGTGAGTTCTACATCTGCCTCAGATACATCTTACCAGCAAAGAACATTGGAGACTTATGGCGCAACTCTTCCATTTTCTGAGCAAACAGGGCATTCATCTCTCTTTGAAGGGTACCCACAGCCCTCTTCCGGGTGTCAAGAATAGAACAAGGGGGCAGCGTAGGAAGAGACTCCAAACTGCTCAGACTGCCAAAGCTCTGGCAGCTACTACTGTCACTGAGCAAGAGACCTGAATTCATGTCACTGTATGTCAGTTTAGTGAGTACAGAGCCATAAACAGCACCATAGTTGGGTGGTGTCGCCTGCTGCCAACAGTGAGTGCTCCTGCAGTCTGGTGCGAGGCTTGGTGCTGGTGTAACAGCATTGGAGGATCGTCTGCGGGGAATGCTGCAGGAACGGGTGTACCTCTGTGATGTACCAGGTCGATTGTGGATATACTGGGCACCAAGTGTTTGTCTGAACTTAGATCTGGGGAATGGCATGGGCGAGTACTGAAATTGGGCCTCCATACAAGTCTTGGGTGTGGGAGGAACCTGCTGTACGTTGGGCTGGGCACCTAGGGACTGGGGCATGGCATCAGGTTCTGACTGGACTTGTCTCTTTGACGAGGAAGAGTGGTTACTTTTCTTTGGTCTCTCCCCATCTGTCACCTTGGACTTTTGCTCAACCTGACCCTCTCTTTCAGCCTCTGGGCTCCCCCTTGAGCCAGTCACACATGTGATGCAGTTGGAGGACATCCCCACACTGCCCGAGCTGCTAACAGCGAAACGTGCAAACACATTTGGCTTCGTGTCCAGCGGATCATGAATGCGGAGCCGAATGGCGCGCTTGAGAGGTTCACTCATTGGTCGTCGCTGAGTGTAGAACGAGCGCTTACCTTTACCTTCCTCGGGATGAAAATTTGTGTCGGAATGGTTCCACGGTCCCTTGGTTTGTTGGGGTGCCAGTGAATCCCCATTGTGGTGCTGAGAGGTAGCAGCAGAAGCCTTTTCTCCCTCCCCGGACTCTCGTTCCTCACTAGCTCCCTCTGAGCTGTAGTCTTTGGTGTCAATTGCAATGTCTGGTAAACCTTTCTTGATTTTGGGTTGACCTTTGGTAGGTGCACTGGCCGTGCGGCGCAGGAGGTGGGCCCCAAACGGTTTCTTACGGCTGTGCTGTACAGCAGTGTGACTGTCCAGGGAAGCCTGCTTTGGGTTTCTGTGAAACAACCCTTTTATGCCGCTGGCTGCTCTTGCCTGACAAAAACACAACAGGACATCATTGCCAAACACAATTCCCAAATAAGTTGAAAATATTGAAAACAATCTGCCATATTACACTAAATTCATTGCACCCAATGAATTTACTGCAGTAGTACATACATAGGATTAGTATAATGAGCATGCTTAAAATAAGGAAAGTAAATTAAATCCACATTTCCTACAGAAACGCACATGTGTGACTGATCTCTCATAGATCACACTGACATGATCATCCAGCTGCAACCATGCTGACTAGCTTTGAAATCCACTTGGATTCAAAGTGTTAGACATTTTAAGCAACCAGCTGAAGATCCTGTAGCAAAATATCAGTTACATGTACACATGCTTGAAGGTAACTGGCAAAGTTGAACAAAAACCTTCTCAACACTGCATGGATGTTTTCACTAAAACAGAAGGTCAAAGGTTACAATGACTGGAACAAAAGAAGGACACTGTGGCCGTGATGATTGTGAAACTCAGTGTCTTGGGGTCTTAACTGACTAAACTAACTAAAATTAACTTCCATCAAGATGGCTGTAAATTCAAAAACAGTCCCAGCCTAGAGATCATAATTTGTGAAGATCATTTGTAGACCACGGATTTGCTGACTAGTCAAATTACTAGGACAGTACTGTATAACCAAAGGAACAAAGACCATGTCAGCAGGCTAACTCACCTCATCTTTTCGGGATCTTGACTATTGTAGAAAGAGTTCTTGGCAAAGCAATTCATTCTTAGAGAACTTGGAAAGAAAGCAACTGGGCTTCTTTAAGTTTCTGGAACGTCTAGTACATAGACACCTATACTGAAAGAATTTCACTGCCTAGACCAAAAACTGCAGAGGCTGGGAAAAAAAAGTGGGAACAGAACAATCGCATTCTACCACCTTACAATTTTCAGTACTTTAATTTAATGGACAGTTGAACAATTTGAGGGGGTGTGCACTGAGGAGAATGATGCAGGGTATGTGGCTCATGCAAGATTCTGACTGGATCTCACTACACCCAAGTTTTGAGTGGCAGCTTCAGGACTCCTAAACATTGTCTGCTTCTATGTTGAGCATTTCATAAAAGAGAGGTCCACTGCAATCACAAACAGACATGGGGAGAGGTGAGCAAGACTTTAAGCTGGTTTCTGCAGTAATACCCACCTTACCAGTGACGTCATTAACAGCTACATGAACAAAGATGGAAGCTTCCTCCATTCCTTCCAAGTACACATGGCGATAGCCTGCGTACAAAAATGTCAGAGACAGCTGCCTTATCAGGGACTCAAATATAACAGCCACAAAGGAATAGCTGTAGCCAAATACCCAATAAATACCAGCTCAACCAGCAGCAAAACTATCAATTGACATGATGTTAGCAGAGACTCGGAATCAAGAGCACCAAATTAGTTATATATAGTAGATGTATAGTGAGTTTGTACAGTGAGTTTCCGGTTTGAGTTCCTTGTTTAAGTATATAATCACTAAAACACAGCAGAAAACCTTGAACGAGTGTTAGTGCCATCCAAAAGCAGCACCATGTCTTACCTGGCATCATGCTGTTAAAGGCAATGGTACGCTGGCCAATGAAGTCCTGGCCAATTGGGTCATGATCCCACACAAGGAAACGAATCAGGGCCAGCTCGGGCATGTGAACCATGAACACCAAAGTCTCCTCCCACATCGGGTTGAAACCTACAGAACCATCCCAAATAGGGATGCAGAAGGGATGGGATAGGGGAGATATGTGTGGGAGGTGAGTGCAAAGGAAGAGCAGATAGGAGAAATAATATGATAGATAGCACAATAAGAGTAAGGCAGATAAGAGGACAGCTTTTTGGCAAACGGGCATATAAAAGAGTAATAGAGACAGGGCAGCAAATTATCTTTGCACTCATCAATTATTCAGGGTGTGTTTGAGAGAGAGAGTTTTTGGTGCTGCCTGTGCATGTCTCATCTTGCTGGGCTCCTCAAGTATATATCAGAAAGCTGTCAAACTATATACACAGATTCACCATATTATATTATATTATATTATATTATATTATATATGTACAAAGCACAACAACAAACCACAGATGTCTACATGCAAACACATGGACATTGACGTGACTGCGAGTGTCCACAGAAAACTCTCGACTACTTTTAGAAGCTGCAAGAAGCGTCTGCTTCACAGGAATTGCAAGGTTGAACTTGCAGTAAGCTTCATTTGCACGGTGCTTTCAGCTGACATGTTTAGTTGAATTTCCTGACATTACTCCTACAAGTTCACCCTGACATGGCTTTGCACACCACTAGAGGTCAGCAAAAACTAGTTAGCTGTTCCAAAAGAACAAACAAAAAAAACCAGCATCTATTAGCAAGAAACTACATCACTGATAGCAAAGCTCCTCTGTTGTTTTTTATATATATATAATTTTTGCCTGTGTGCGTCACAAAAGCAATCTTGAGCACCATTAACTGTCTAATGAGATCCCCATTCAGCTTTCTGAACGTGTTCCTGTAATTATTTCAGGTGGTGATATTGTATTTTCAAACTGCTGTATGAATGAGTTCATTCAGTTTAATATGTCTGAACTGCAGTTACCTTTACACCCACGGTGATGTCTTTCAAAGCACATAAACCTTTCAATACTGAGGTTAAGGTCACTCTTTCAAAATGAATTCAATCCCATCTTTAAAACACAGGTAACTGTTAAAGAGCTGGGCCCCAAATGTTAACATTTCTGTTTAGCAATGCTGGGACACAGGTCTGACCTTTATCAGATTTAAACCAAATACTTAACTATGTACTGCATTTATGGCATCAAAGGCTCAGGAAGCAGAAAATTCTGCAAAGTGAAAATAAAATAAACAATAAAAGGTGAATCAAATGGACCATTATGGCAAGGCTGGGATGGTCAATTTGGTAAAGTAAATCCGTTGGATTCATCTTTCTTTGCCTTTAGACAACAATTCTGATGGCAAAAGAGCCAAACGGGACAGGCAAACAAAAAAAAAATTCTGCAGAGTTTAAAAGGTAAAAACAGTTGGAGTCCATAAACAGCTTCATGTTGGGATGTCATGTGGAAACTTGTTTTTATCTAAAATCCAACAGATGGAAACAGCTGTGGTTGCAAAAAGACTTCCAGTCATGACCTAACCTCTTTAAACACTTCTTCTTGGCTGAGTTTATAGGCTGAGCCACTCGTTCTGACTCATACTAAATGAGAAAACACTGTTTTTTTACCATGTTTAAGATGGATGATTACCTGTAGTATGAAACCACACACTCATTGGCTAACGACTTGTCAATCATCAGTCATCAGCTAATAAGCTTGCAGTCTGTTTCTCAGTCAGATCCGCCCCTTGGCAGAAGTGCTGAAGTCAAGACTTCAGAAATCAATGGACGGCATCACTCTAGCTGTATATATTTATATGTATTTTATCTCTTTGTAAAGTTTATTTTATCTGTTTTCATTGTAAACCTACATCGGTTTTTATGTCGTTTTCTTCTGTGTGTCAAGCACATTGAGTTTGAGAAATTGAAATGCACCATTTAAATACAATTGACATTTCATGACTAAATGGAGACCCACCATTATCATCCACCACTCTGGTCTGTTCCTTGCAGCAATCCACTGGGAGGCCAATGATCTCCACTTCCACAAAGGGATCAATGATCTGTCAGAAAGACATTGCACAGTTTTAAGACATCTACAATTTTGACCATTCTTTCAGCAGTCAGAGGTCAGGCCTAACTTGCAGTCTCTTCTTTAATTAAAGGTTTTTATCAGGTTGAGGTCAAGACTGTGCAGGTCCACGAAGTTCTTCGACCCCAAACTCTCTCATACATATCTTTGTGCAGTCATGTTGGAAGAGGAAGGAGCCATCCCCAAATTGCTACCACAAAGTTGGGACCATGAAATCTCATTTCTGCTGTTCAATACCTAAGAAACTTAAACTTTTACAAATGATTGCTCAGCTGTGTCTGTAATCAAACATCTCTAACTTTGCTCTGCTTCACTTCAGCAGCTTCAGGTAATGTTCAGATGCTGATTCATGGTTTTCTTCAGTTTTGATCTACTGCAGAATAATTTAGGTTATCTGCTATAAAATGTCAGGCCAGGAAAATCTCCTTCATGTTTTTCTGTTTTTATCCACAGTTACTTTGACACAAAGGCATCTGCTGTGAT